TGCTGGCGTCGGTGCTGGTGTAGGCGTGGGCGTCGGTGAAGGCATAGGCACCGGCGTGGGTGCTGGTGTCGGTGCTGGCGTCTTCGCTGGCGTAGGCGCCCGCCGTGGGGCTGGCGACGGAGCTGGACGTCGGAGTCGGGCGTCGGAGTCGGGGAGTCGGAGCTGGAGATAGAAGTGGTGGGTGGCGCACTCGTTATCCCATTGGGTGGGATAGGACGCCTGGAGCAGGGCTTATTCGACCGCGGGCCGAAGGCAAGTGGAGGCGCTGGCATTGGTGTCGGGTTAGGCGTCGGCGTTGGTGCTGGCGTCGGTGCTGGTGTAGACGTGGGCGTCGGTGAAGGCATAGGCACAAGCGTGGGTGCTGGTGTCGGTGCGGTCACGAGGCTGCGGCCCATCGTCAGCCCGTCCCTCGTGTTGTACTTCTTTTTTTTTTTATCGGCGGGCTCATCGGAGCCTGCCTCCAGCCACTTGCGGCCACCTTGCGGACGCGTAGCTGCCAGCCAAGGTGCAGGTGAAGCGATGGTGCTGGCGTGAGTGCAGGCGTTGGCACAGGGGCCGCTGCTGGTGTCGATGGTGCTGTAGGCGCCGGGGTTGGTGCCGGTGTCGCTGCTGGCCTCGCCACTGGTATAGGCGCTGGAGCTGGGGCCGGCGTAGGCGCAGAAGATGGTACCCGCGTAGATGTCGACGTCGATGTTGGTGTAGGCGCTGGCGCTGGTACCGGTATAGGTGCAGGCGCTGGCGCTGACGTCGATTCTGGCGTCGGAGGTGCCGTAGGCGTCGGATTTGGTACCGGCGTAGAAGCTAGCGTCGATGCTGGTGTAGGTGCTTGCGCTGGTGCCAGCGTAGGTGCAGGCGCTGGCGCTGTCCTCGGTGATGGCGTCGATGCGCTGTCGGCGCCGGATCTCGTGTAGGCGGCGATGCTGGCGTCGGTGCTGGTGAGGGCGTTGGTGCTGGCGTTGGCGCAGGTGCGGGTGTGGGCCCTGTCTTCGATGCTGGTGTCGATGTCACTGTAGGCGCCGGAGTTAGTGCCAGCGTGAGTGCAGGCGTTGGTGCAGGCGTCGCTGCCGGTGTCGATGGTGCTGTAGGCGCCAGGGTTGGTGCCCGTATCGATGCTGGCGTCACTGCTGGTATCGGCGCTGGCGCTGGTGCCAGCGTTGTCTCAGAAGCTGGTGCCCGAATTGATGTCGACGTTGATGCTGATGGAGGCGCTGGGAGGCGCTGGCGCTGGTACCAGCATCGGTGCAGGCGTTGGCGCTGACGTCGATTCTGGCGTCGAAGCTGCAGTAAGCGCCGGGGTCGGTACTGGCGTAGATGCTAGCGTCGATTCTGGTGTAGGTGCTGGCGCTGGTGCCGGCGTAAGTGCAGGCGCTGGCGCTGTCTTCGGTGATAGCGTCGGCGCTGCTGTCGGCGCCGGATCTTGTGCAGGCGGCGATGCTGGCAGCGATGCTGGCGGGCGTCGGAGTTGGTGAAGGCATCGGCGCTGGCGTGGGCGAAAGTGCGGGCGTTGGCACTGACTACGGTGCTGGTGTCGAAGCCACTGTAGGCGCCGGAGTTGGTGCTGGCGTCGCTGCTGGCGTCGCTGCTGGTGAAGGCGCTGGCGCAGGTTCCGGCGTAGGCGCCGGAGTTAATACCCTGGTAGATGTCGACGTCGATGCTGGTGTAGGCGCTGGCGCTGGTACCGGTATAGGTGCAGGCGTTGGCGCTGACGTCGATTCTGGCGTCGGAGGTGCCGTAGGCGCCAGAATAGGTACCTGCGTAGATGCTAGCGTCGATGCTGGTGTAGGTGCTCGCGCTGGTGCCAGCGTAGGTGCAGGCGTTGGCGCTGTCCTCGGTGATGGCGTCGATGCGCTGTCGGCGCCGGATCTGGTGTAGGCGGCGATGTTGGCGTCGGAGCTGGTGAGGGCGTCGGCGCTGGCGTTGGCGCAGGTGCGGGCGTGGGCCCTGTCTTCGATGCTGGTGTCGATGCCAATGTAGGCGCCGGAGTTGGTGCCAGCGTGACTGCAGGCGTTGGTGCAGGCGTCGCTGCCAGTGTCGATGGTGCTGTAGGCGCCAAGGTTGGTGCCGGCATCGATGCTGGCGTCACTGCTGGTATCGGCGCCAGAAATTGTGTAGGCGGCGATGCTGGCGACGGCGCTGGTGAGGGCGACGGCGCTGGCGCTTGCGAAGGTGCGGGCGTTGGCACTGTCTGCGATGATGGTGTCAAGGCCAGTGTAGGCGCCGGAATTGGTGCCAGCGTCGATGCCGGCATCGCTGCTGGTGCAGGCGTGGGAGTGCTGGCCGTCGCGGTGGTGGCGTAGGCGGACGCAACCAAATAGAACCAGCCAGCCCAATATATCAAGTGGTCAACAGTTGCGGCCAACAGAACTGAAGAGGATATGTTGGATAACGACGAAGACGTGTCGGAGTCGGGGTCGAGACGGCGGGGGACAGGAAAACGTCGGAGAAATTGCCGCTGCACCACAACCGGCCTGAAAATAGATGCAAGAAACAATCCCTTTGAGACCCAAGTCAATCTGAGATGTCGGAGATGTAGAAGAGGGCGAAGAAGAAACAGTATCCGTTGGGATCAGCGGTGGCGGGGGAGAACGTCAGCTCCTGCACTGGCCTATGCGGTGCGCCTCCTCGATCTGTGCCCCTCCTGGCCTTCCCCCCGGCACCCGCGCCGGAGAGCTTCGACCCTCCGGGGGAAGGAGGTCGGTGGAAGGGGGGGCAGCGCCGCTTCCTCCGTGGCCGCTGACCACCTCGACCGCAGCGCGCGCAGAGCCACCCTGTGTCCTTTGGTTCCCTCCCTCACTGCCTGGGTGATTGCGTCGACCGCGACCTCGAAGTCGCACCGCCCTCGGTGTCTCATCGTGTTGGTGCACGTGTACACCGCGTAGATGGCAAGGCCGAGCAGGGACAGCACCTCCTTCGAGCGGATGCGCGGGTTGACCAGCAGGAATGTGTGGAGGTTGCAGAAAACGCCTGGGTCGAGGCGCAACTTGCGCTGAAACACTGTCCGTACGGCTCTGCAGCGGCAGTAATGCTCGATGCTGTCCTCGGAGCCGTCACCACAGCCAAAGAGGCACCGCGCGCGGCCCTGGAATCGCCGAGCTGTGGTCCATCGATTGAAGAGCGTCGAGAAGACTGCTGCCTGGACCCGCGGCGGCGAGAGGCTACCCAAGACCTGCAGCAGGTGGGATGCGCGGCGGCCCTGCCAGGCAGGCGTGCGTTCCTGCACGCTGCCGAAGATGACTGCGTGGCGGCGTCCGTCCTCCAACTCCCATCTCTGGAGTTTCGCCCGCAGTCGCATTGTGGGGTCTGGCGCCATGCGGGCCGCCAAATAAGCATACACCGTGCGTTGGCAATCCTTCCGCCACGCCGTGTCCCGCTCAATTGCTCGGTCGCCAGACGGGCGTGATCGTCGCAGACCCTCCACCGTGGCGTGGTGATGCTGGAGCTCGCTCTCCGCCTGGGCCAAGGCCAGGATGAAGCTTCGGCTGTACCAGTCGTTCCACGCAAGTCGACAGAAGAAAACCTCGACTTCCCCCTCTCGTTTTCGCAAGATCTTGGTCTGGCTTAGGACTCCCTGGGCCTGCACGGTGTCCCCCGGGGCCGTAGACGACCCGAGAAGGAGGAGGAGGACGAGGAGGTGGAGGGGGAGGGGGAGGAAAAGGAGGAGGTGGAGGAGGGGGAGGGGGAAGGGGGACAAGCTAGGTGCGCTCGCGTCATATCTGACGTCCTACCCCTCCCTCCCATCCATTACCATGGCGCTGATTTTCTCTATCCGCGGACGCGTGTCGTAGCGGACCTGTGGCTCCGCGCGCGCGTGCGTAGTGGGTGGTGGTGCGCGTGCGTGCGTGCGTGCGTACGTGTGTGCGTGGTTGTGGTGGTGGTGGTGGTGCTGCTGCTGCTGGTGGTGGTTGTGATGGTGGTGGTGGTGGTGGTGGTGGTGGTGGTGGTGGTGGTGGTGCGGCGCGGTGGTGGCGGGCGGATGGGAACGCGAGAAAGAGGCCCGCGCTGGGGCGAGAACGCACTTCTGAACGACGGAGCCCAAACACAGATCCGAAAATGAGGCCCACGCTGCAGCGGGAGCACGATTCGGAACGATTCGGGAGCAGAAATGAGGCCGGCCCCTCAGCGAGAGGAGCAAGTTGAAAAAAAAACGCAGGCGAGTGTAAAAAACCAATACACGGGGGGGGGGATCGGCCATCTTCGGAACGCCGTCAAGGGATGTGGGAGAGTATTTTCATATTGTGTTATTGTGGTGGAGGAGGAGGAGGATGAGGAGGAGGGGAGGAGGAGGAGGGGGAGGAGGAGGAGGAGGAGGAGGAGGAGGAGGAGGAAGAGGATGATGATGAAACGCTCTCCAATGCGGTTCCGTGGACCCAGACTGGACAAACAAAGCACCAGAGGCTATGAGGCCGCCCGATTTCGGCCGCCACACTCCTGGATAAGTTTACTGGCCAGATCTTGTACAGTTTGGGGATCTCGGGACCCTTCCGGGGACAGGCGGGCGGTCCACCCTGTCTGATCCCAGCGAATGATCCTGCCCCTGGCTGACCGAAGAAAAGTTTTGGATCACTGGGAGGCGGGGGAGAACCAGACCTGTCTCTGGGACTGCACCCACTTAAACCCCTGCTCCCTGAAAGTCTGACTACTAATGCTATCTGGATGTCGCTGCATGTGTGAAAGCCAGGACACGTTACCCACAAAAGCCTGTTTAGCCCAGTGGGTCTTGATCAGGCCTTTCATGGCCCGAGCTCGTCTAGTCTTGAACTGGGCTGGCGATTCGTGTGGCTGCCTACGAGTCCTGAGCCTCCAACCCAAGATCTTGAATTGGAGGCTGTCTAGTGTCCTAACATTAGAGTTCGATGGACTCCAAACTGCTGGCCTAGACAGAAGAATGGCACAAGCCACGGGATCGAATTTAGAAAGCCGCGCGGGGAGAGGAATGAGGGGATTGCAGAGAAATCTCGAATTGGACCAGAAGGCTCTCAGGATGGAGTCGCAAGCTTTTCCTATGTCCGTCACCGTCGAACCAGTTGCAGCCAGAACGGGCCCGAGAACACGTAGCTCATGAACCTGCTTCCAACTGAAAACTTTGGGGTCCACGAAATCCCGGCCGGGCCTGAACGCCGGGGATGCCTTGATAACGCACTTTGAGCTCGGCTTCAAATCCAAGGAGTGCGCCTGCAGGAGAGCGGTCTCGAGTTCCATCATGCGGTCGATGGCTTCTTCAATGGGCGGCCCAAAAGTAAATAGGTTATCGCTCCACGACGCCATGCGCAATCTGCTGCCCGAAAGCTGGAATCCAACCTCCGAGCGAAGCCATCTATCGCGGCACAACATCACACTGTCCTCGATGGAGATTCTGGCAAGGGCAGCGGCCGTGAGGGCACCCGCATGGAGGCCCCGGGTCCTGGCGATGGGGCCCGTGGCGGCCCCGAGGATACGAACAGAAACTTTGGGAACCCGATGAAGACGAATCACGGCCGATACGATTTCACAAGGCACTCCGCGGCCGAGCAAACCCCGGGCAACTGGTACATATCTTACTCGATCGTGGTGAGACCTGATATCTGCCGACGCGACAGCGGCACAATCGAGGCGATCCCTGCCGATTTCGAGGACCTGGCTGACGGCGAAGAACATATCAGTCACCTGCCCGCCCTTCCCAACCCCGAGGGCGTGTTTTTTTTTAATCGTTGTCTGCAGAATACTGCCCAACTGGGCCATTGCCGGCTGCGGAACGATGACCCGCGTGCCCTCCACCTGCCCCATCCCCTTCTCCTTGTTCCCGATCGTGGCATCAAAGATCACCTGGCTCCAAAAAGCGCCCTCGCACAGAGCGCGCCGGAGAGCCGGCAAGATCCGCTCCTGCCAACCAGCAAGACGAATCACCGATACAGCGGCGCCTCTGGAATCGATCTTGGATGGACTACGAATCCTGGCCAAGCTGTCTATGAAAATGGACTGGCAAATCTGGGGCTTCTGGTTGTTGAGAATACCCAAGGATTTCAAAGCAAACCTTTCGTCCGAATCTCCGGCCGGAGGAAGTTGCCACCGTTTCGTGCACTCCTCGAAGACCATCCGAGAACACACGGCAGGATCCACTACGATGCCGCCCGTCGGCGCACTGAAGCCCGTCACCGGCGGCAGGTGCTGCTTGCGTATCCACGCTCTGGCCCCCGACGTCCAGTCGGAAACGATCTGACGACGAAGTCGAAAATCTCTCGAAATCTTCAGGCCTCGTAAAAGGTCCCTGTGCCGTTCGACTCGTTCGACCTCGTCTAACGACGCGAGGGCTTGTCTCCTCAACTCCTTGATCCACATCGGCTCGCTCGTACGACGTCGGATCCTAGAAGAACCTGATCTCTGAGTACCCTCCACAACCTCCGCCATCCTGTCCTCCCAGAAATCGAGCGAGTCCTGGCGCGGGTCATCGTGATGGACGATCCTGGCCCCAAGACAAAAATACCCCGTTGATGAAGACGCGGGCCCAGAAAGTGAATCACTTGAAACTCCTCCTTGTCCTCGACCTCCCGGCAACGTACAAAACGGCCCCGGGTAACACCAAACTCCTTCGGAAACTCCTTCGGAAACTCCTTCGGAAACTCCTCCTTGTCCTCCAACTCCTCCGCGTTGTCGCCAGTCGTCGTGATAAAGAAGCTCAGAAGCAACTGGGTGCGAACGCATGGCGAAGGAGCACGCGTCCGTCGGATCCTCTGGTCGCCAATGCGGAAGCCTCCTCTTGTGCCTTGGACGGAGCAGCAGGATGAGATCGGCGCCCAGGAAAGCGTGGCCCCCGGGAACTCCAGACCATTGAACAAACACGTCGACGCTATCCAACTTGCGGGAAGACACATGGTCAATCATCGCTGGGCTTCCACTCTGGCGTCCATCGGGTCTCCTCGTGCAGTGCAGACGGGTATCCGACTCGTTGAAACGCGGCGGCTGAACTCGCAATCCTAAGCCGTCGACAGCTTGAAGGTATCTGGACCACACGTGCTGCCAAGGCTTGAAAAGGTCCGCATTTTTGCCCCATCCATGTTAAGATAGCCCCCCTCGGACGAGAACGAGCGAGAGAGATAGCATCATAAAGACTGTCATCGAAATGTTCTCCATGGGCGAGATGGCTGAAAACGATTGACCTCAACATACTCTCTTTAGAATCAGGGCCCCGGGTCGCGACGTCGATGCGACACGATCTATCGCGGACCTCAATGCCCTTCACGTGCGGCCTTGCAGCAGAATGAATTAGCACGGAATAAGCCCAACCACCCTCACCACTGTAATGACGAAGGCGCCAGTGACGGCCTCGAAAAGGGCGAAGCTGCGCATCTCCCGCGCCCCGGCGCTGGCGGCGGTCAGTTTCAAGCATTGCCAAGATGCCCCAACATCTCAACTCTAGTGAATTGATAATCTCGGCGATCTCCTCATCCGTCGGGCCCTTGCCTTGGATGTTGATCGCGCCAACAAGTGCATGATGTTGCACTCACAGGTTCATGGCGTCATGCACGCCCTCGGCCCCAAGCTCGGTCTTGATCTGGCTGGCTGGCACGCTTGTGTCCCACTGGAAGGCCCCTTGCTGAACTTTGCCCACCACGAAGTGCGTCCCGTTCGCCGCACCATGAATTGTCCTCGTCCTGTCGCAGAAGATGGGCTCCACGGGCGTCGAAAGCTTCGGCAGGGCGTCTGCGAAGTAGGTCTTGGCCAAGCCCCAGACCCTGGCGGGAGCTCGCTCTTCTTCTGTCGAGATTGTCCCCATCCAGATAGATGATCTTGTCGTTGTGGTTGCTCCTCTTCTTCATTGCCACGACTCTGTCCGCCACCGCCTGGCCCTTCGCGTTGTCCACAAAAGAGACCTCGACGATGGAGCCAAACGCGTACGGCGCTTTGATCTGGCGGATGTGCTCCTGCGGGCACTGCACTTGATTCAGCAACTCTCGAACATTTCTTTCTAGAACTGTGTCCCGGATGTTCCACCCAAGGTTGGTCACTACAAATGTCGTTCTCTGGCTTCGCGGTGTGGCTAACCAGCGCGGCTGGAACTTCGTAGATGACGGCGTGCCGGCCGTAGAGGACGCAGGACGACTCTTGATCTCCTCGACGGACTTCTGCTGTACCCTTTGCTCCGTGCGGAGTGCCGCCACATCCAGTTGAAGCTGGTCGAGCGCGGCTTGGACCTCCGATTCCTTACCCGCGGACTCCTCCTGGCGCTTCGACAACTGCTGGATAAGAGCATCATGTTCGATCACCTTCTGCACCGTTGGGACTATGTCTTCTCTGAACTGGTTGATGTTGTTATTTATGTTAGTGAACATCCTCTCCATGAAATCTCTGTCGGTCTCGCCCGTCGGGGGCACGTTCTCCTTGTCAGATGGGCCCTTGCCGGCGCCTTTCTGAAACTTCTCAGGTGGAGCGCCCAATCCCAGAGTCGCGACTCTCCTCACGTTCGCGAGGGCCGTTTTGGGATCCCACCATGTCTGGCCTCCGCCCCCAGAGGCACCGGCCAGGCCAGGCGGCTCGGCGGGGCCTGCATCCACGGGCATCGGTGCAGAACCCTCCATCGCGCCCCGGCCCCCCGGAGGAGCAGGAGGAGGAGGAGGAGGAGGAGGAGGAGGAGAAGGTGGAGGAGGAGGGGGGAGGAGGGAGGAGGGAGGAGGAGGAGGAGGAGGAGGAGGAGGAGGAGGAGGAAGAGAAGGAGGAGGAGGAGGAGGAGGAGGGAGGAGGAGGAGGAGGAGGAGGAGGAGGAGGAGGAGGAGGAGGAGGAGGGAGGAGGAGGGGGCCGAGGAGGATCGAGGATCGAGGGGGGGCCCCAACGCGCTGGCCGCGAAGATCCTGGTCCGTCTCAGGATTCCCTGGGCCGGCCCGCAGACTTCCTGGCTCGCTTCCTCCTCGGGAGGGAGGGAGGCGGAGGGCGGTCCTCGCCGCCCACTGCGGCCGTGAGCACGCAGGAGCAGTCGGGAGAGATCGCCGCGGAGAACAAACTGCCTCGCGCGCGCTAGCTGACGACGGCACGGGTCTGGCAAGACGATCGCCGAACCAGGACAAAATCGGGCCGATATAAATCGGAAATTTCTCAGACTCGGCAGGTTTGGAAGATGCATCGTCGGGGGCGTCCAAGAGGGGGGCGTCCGAGAGGGGTGTGCGCAAATCATGGCCCGAGGCACGTGCGCGGACCAGGGGGGGCCAGGGAATGTATTGAAATAAGAAGAGGGGCCCTGGCCATGATATCCCCCCTAGTCATCACCCCCCCCTTGGCTTAAGTCTGGCACGTCCCTCTACAGGAAGAATCTTCAAAACAAATCATAAAATAGTCTGGAAGCGTTTTTGTTTGAATATTGTTGTCTCTTTTGGGGTATTTTTGGAATATCTTTAATTTTTCACCCAAAATCCGCCTGTAGGGGGACATGCCCGACCTAACTCTTGGCCACCCCCGAGCATTGGTCGCCGCGGCCGTTTCGGAGCGTTCCGGAGCGCTCTGAGAGCGCTCCCAAACACTCCCAAATGGATCGATCTCGATCCCATGCCCGTCCGGAAGACGGCACGGGTCTGGGCGGCCCGAGGGGAGGGAGATACGGTCCGGAGACCTTGCGGCCAACTGGGGCCGATTCGGGATCACTCTGCTCGCCTACCTACTCACCGGCCTCAAACTTATCCCTATCCCAGGACGATCTTAGGGATGTGCCCGAGGGCGAGCAAAGCGCGAGGGCGAGCAAAGCGTGAGGTGATGCCAAACGCAGGGATAAAGATATGTTTAGAACTGGTAACCTACTGCCCCTTGTTCCGCTTTCCGCCGTTCCTCCCTTCACTCCGGTGCACCCTTTTTCGATGGCAGCTCTTCTTCCTGCGCCCACCCTTGTGTCTCCTGCCACTCCCTCCTCCCGCGACCCCTCCCGTTCTTTCGATCACTGCTATCCCTTCAGGGTCGGCGGAGTCGACCCTCTGGCCGTTCCAGCCAAGATCCAGTGCTTCACCGTTCTCCATCGTCTCCTCATTCGTTTCTTCGTCTCCTCATCCACCTCCTCGCTCTTATCTTTTGTTTGGGCAGACGAATCCAGCTCCATTCCTCCACCTCTCGGGCCTCTCTCTCCCTCTCTCTCTCTCTCTCTTCCTGTATCTCTCCCTCTCTCACTTTCCGTTTCTCTTCCACCTCTGTTGTCCAACAATGAGATTCCCAACAATAGGAAAACATCGAACCAACACTCATACGACAGAAAGCACTGACCCCCCTTAACGACACAAACATTGAGGGGGCGATAGGGGGGAACCAACTCGAGGGGGGAACATCGACTTGGAATCAGCGATACAACGCCGATAAACAGGCCCCCGATAACGAAACTGCACGCTCCTGGGCGAGGGGAGGCTCTGCGGCCCCATCGGAGATGAATGGGCGATTTGGGGGTCGATGCAATCGCCCCCGAGCCGATGCCCCCCAGAGGAGGGGCCTCGCGCTCTTGGGGCCATCCTGAGGTGATTTGGGGCGCCGTTGGGGTCCTCTGGGGAGCGTTGTGGACCTCTTTTGGTCCTTGTTGGAGCCTTGTGGGAGCCTTTGCAAGGCGATACTGGTTCGGAGTCCCTTCCGGAGACAATCTGTGAGCATGTCCCCAACAACATTTTCATGTTCAAGAAACTTGACAACGAGTTTCGAGGTGAAGGGCGGAACCCTTCGTTCGAAGACGACTACTACTGTAGAACAACTGTCCACGCCAAAGGCGCTTCCCGTCGTCTGCCACCGTGCCCTCGACAGACACCGGGTGGAGAGTCGCCCCCAACAGGACATATCGCACACGATTCCTCAGGGCCCCAGGCATCCAATTTCCAGGATTCCCCAAGATTTTTCGGAGGCGCGCTTGGCGGCCTTTTCCGAGGCTCAGGGAGCTTGCCATCGCTCGGACGTCAACTACCTGCGCATTTTAGAAGCATGCGCACGTCCGAGCGATGCCAAGGGTGCGCCCCTGGGGGTAGCGAGACGCCGAACAGATCCTAGGATGGTCCGAGTGACCCATCCTGGAGCCGCCCCACACGTCTTTCCAAGAGGTCCACGCCGCTCAACAGCATGACCTGTTTCACTGGTGTAGCATTCCCGCGCCGACCCTCATGGTCTGATCGGGCCCCGTCTTTGTCTCCGCTCTCGTCTCTTGCTCTTTCGCTTCGTGCCTGTGTTAGCTTCTGGTGCTGCCCACCGCTCGCTTTGACCTGCGCCTGACCGTCTCGCTCACCTTGGCGTCCGCGGACAACAAAAAAAGCTGCTTCACTGGTGTGAAGACCCTCCCCTGTTCGGCCTGGAGGGCGTCAACAATGACCCGCGAGGCTCCCAGTGTCAGCCCTGGTGAACCCAAGAGGCCTCCAGGATGGGCCAGCCAGGCCCGCAAAGTGGCCCCAGGAAGAAGGGCCGCGCCACCTGCACTTCCTGTGGCTGCTGCTGCACGCGTTGGTGCCACGCGCCGTCGTCGTCGGGCTTTCCCATGTCTGTACCTCCGCGCTCCCTATACGCGTTGATGCCCTGTGCCCATGGCCGGCCCTCGGTGTCGCAAAGGGCCTCTCCCTGTCGGTGACCCACGTCTGGTGCCGTAATTACGCGGTGATGCCCTGTGGCGGGCCTTTGGAGTCGCCATCGGCCGGTCGTAGTCGGTACCCAAAATGGCTGGTGCCCTAGGCGTTCGACCAGGCGCGGCTCTGCATCGTACCATCTGTGCTCTGCCTCCATCCCTCCCTCTCCTCGTCCTCCCTGTCGCTTCCACTCTGCTCTCCAGAATCCCCTTCTCCCGCAACTGCTACTGCTGCATACGCTACTGCTGCTACTATTGATCCTGCTGGTACAGCTGTTAACTATAACACTAATGACTATGAAGCTGCTGCTAAGTCTTTTATTCCTGCTACTGTTGCGCCTTTCGCGACGTTGCATCTCGTAGAACGCGGCGAAATTATTGCACGAAACATACGGCACACATCGAATGCTGCAAATTACACGTAATTATTGTGCCATGCAACTTGCGCGCCGGGGTCACAACAACCGACTGCTTGGGACCCACGCAGTGGCATTTTTCCCAACCCTCCGTCGTTGGCTCAAGTGGTAGCACAAGTGGCACAAGTGGTGGCACAAGTGGCACACATCTGAGTACACTTACCAGCCCTGCTATCCTTTCACACCGCATCACATTGATTATCATTTCTCTCTTCTTGCTCTCGCTTCTGGTTGGACATTTTGATCACCATGCCGGAGAGTCACCCAATCGGTACGCCTAAAGATGGGAAGGCTCAGAAGCAACAGCGCCTCCGCAGCCCATTGCATGAAATGGATGACGCCCCTCCCGGCGCGACTATGGCACAAAATTCAGACAGCGGTGCCGTGGTACCGAGGCGCTTGGTATATTCCGGCGTCGACGTGGAACTACCGCCTCAGAACATCGAGAACCCCGAGGCCGCAATCACAATGGGAGCTATGAACAAGCTGTTCCGCGACTACATGGCACCCATGATCAACATTACCCAGGCGCTTGGAAAAGATTTCAAAGACTTTAAATCAACAGTGGAATCTGGAATGGAGGAGCTTGAAATACGCCAAACAAACTTGGAGGACGATATCGAAGAGCTACGCGGAGAACTACAGTCGATGCCGATAACCATTCCAGAATCAATTGAACAGCGGTTCCAAACAGTGGAGCGGGAACTATCAGAACTGAGACAGATTACCACACCAAGGTCGATCGGAGCATCCACGGTAACCGGACAATCCACTACGACGACTCTCATGATTGGGGGCCTTCCGCACGACACTCTATTCGATGCTGATCGCTGGGTTGCAAAAATCCTCGCAGATGCTCAGTGCGAGATGCCCCTGAAGACTTACAAGAAAGGCCCGCCAGCAGAGCCTTTCAAAGGTATGTTTTTCTCCGAGTTCAAATCCCAAGAGTCGTCAGACAACGCACTCCCAATTCTTCAAGCAGCATGCGAAACGCTAAAGCCAAAAGAAGGGAGTCGTCGCGTTTGGTGCGGCGCGGACGCTCCAATCGAGCAAAGGACCGCCACTTCAATATTGCTGGGGCTTCGGTATCTCCTTACGCAATGGGGATTCGAGAAGAAATTCCTGAAGGTCGACGGCGACGCCGGAATACTGAAAGCTGGGGGGAAGGAAGTATTAAAAGTGAATGTGGTAAATTACAAACTACAGGTGCTCTGGTTGGATACCGACTGGGAGGCTTGGGAAGAATTGCAAAAGGCACCAGAATGGGATGACTTGCAAAAGAAGGCCATGGAGCGCCTGGACAGGAGTGCGGCCAGCTCACCGAAGGGGGTGGGAAAAGGCAAAAACAAGAAATGAGGGTGCCAAGGGCGCACGGGCTTAGTTTCACCCTTCCGGAACAACAACTTACCGGGAGATCGCTGCGTGTTGCCACGTCTTGGACAGAACGGCCTGGGCAAGGTTACCAACCGTCCCGCTCCAGACGACAATTCTCAGGACAACTCGTTTACCGCGCAACCTTCCACTCTCAACCTTGGTACTTGGAATGTCAGTGGGCTCACAGAGGTCAAGAGGATCGAAATTTGTAAACACATGGAACAATTCAATATAGGAGAGAGCGTGATCCACCGCCGCTTTACTGTGGAAAATTGCCAACCTTTTCCTCCGGAACCCGGGGGTCTCCCCCCCCCTCCGAAAATCCCCCCCCCCCCCCCTGCTGGACCCCCCCCCCCCCCCCGCTCCCTTCCCCCCACCCCCCCCCCCCCCCCCCTCCCCCTCGAAAACCGGGGGGGTCACTACCGGTTCGAACCCCTCCCCCCCTCTCCGGATCCGGAAAATCGGGGGGGGTCACTACCGGTTGGAACCCCCCCCCCCCCCCTCGAAAACCGGAGGGGGGTCACTACCGGTTCGACCCCCCCCCCACGCACCGCCAGCAAACGACTCCCGGTCCCTACCACCGCTCGCATCACATCCCCCACTGTTGTTCCCAGCACCACTGTCCTCACCACCACTGTCCCCACTGGTT